CCCCACTCCCCCCCCCCCCCCCAAAAAAAAAAAAAAAAACCAACACCACTTTTCACTGTCTACAGATAAGGTGGAAGCCTAATAGAGAAGGGAAGATGTTCGATTCTCACTAAGATGCTCTTTGAGGAGGAACCCAGGTAATCCCCATAGGAGCATTTCGAGTGAGAAGGCACCATTCATATAGCCTTTTTATCTGCAGCCTAGGGAACCTTTCAATAACACTGTCTAGCTCAAGGTCAATCAAATCAGAATTTTTTTTCCTTATAAAATTGGACACTCCAAACTGCTCTCAAAATATTTTTTATAAGAAAAATCATTAAATAAATATAATAAAGCGTTTACAACAACCAATGAAAGTTGGACAAGTCATCCAATGGCAGGTAACAACAAAGTCATACATAACATGAACTTGGACATTGTAACCATTTCACATTCCGTTGGATAGAAGTCAGTAAGGGAGGGGAAAATATATAAGCAATAGCTAGGATGGGCCCACAGTTCTGATGGGCTACGTTGTATCTTACTTTAGTAACAAGATTTTCAGAACACTTCCTGGTTGATTTTAGCAACAAAAAACTGTAAGTTGTATGATGTGGATAACATGTTGTCTACCATGAAACATCACTAGTCTAATAACTGTCTTGTGAAAAGTATCTTTTTCACATTATGAGGTATACAATTAAGAAAAAAACAACCTCAAAATCTAAGTGTAATAGAAACGAGGATGCAATGACACTAAAAAATAGAATTAGTAATGAGGATATACATGAAATGGTAGGAGAATGACCACTCGAAGATAAATGAAGAGAATCGATTTAGGTGGTTTAAACATGAATACAGGGTGTGTTTGTTAACCCAAATTCAACACTTAAAAAAAATATATTCGACGCTGATTAATTAAGTATGTTTGATAACTAAAATTAAAATATCTTAATCTATTAAGTGTTCCTTAAAAATAGACTAAAATATTAAGTAAAAGATCCCTTACTTAATTTTGAAAGTTCAACAAAAATATCTTTAATAATAAATACAATATGACAAATCTACCCCGAAGTATTTTACAATCCTATTCAAACTCAAATTAATCTACTCTCCAAAACCCCCCAATCTATCTATCTTTTTCAATCCTCCCCGTTCCTTCTTCCCATCGTTTTCTTTAGCGATCACACACACACTCACACTTTATGCAATAACATGCGCACACTGCACCCACACACTACACACACCTTGCACACAAAGACACAAATCACATGCAAAGACACTCACAATCGAACACATGTACACATTTTTTGAATATTTATTAGTTAATGTTCACTTAATATGTTATTCAATTTCTTATTATTCTATTCTTTCTTTGTCATTGGTTAATAGTTTATTTGTTCAATTATTTAATGTGTATTGTTTCATTTGTTATTGTTCAATTATTTTCTAGTTCAGCTATTTCTTTGTAAATGATAAAATTGAAAATTAATTTATTTTCAGACGTCAACTCAATGTAGTTATCAAACAATTTGGTTCAATTTAATACTTAAATTTCAGTGGGTACCCAACAATCTACGAATTAAAAATTCAGCATTCAGTTTTCAGATTTCAGGTTTCAGTTTTATCAAACACAATCATAGAGAATCTCTATTTGAACCAGTTAGGAAGATTGATGGGATACCTATCACATCAATGCGAGGGGTAGAGGTAGCAATGCAAGGTAGACCGAAATTAACTTTGAATGAGAGAATGAAAAATGACATGATAACTTATGATTTAACAAAAATATGGCCCTTGATAGAATAGGATTCATGTAGCCAACCCATTACATCTCCACTTCAAAGCTCGGTTTGAATTCACAACTGAATTTTTATCATTCGTAATAATGCAAATAGTCAGCCCTCAAGTTGCTTTTTGAGCCCTTAAGTTGCATATCACACATGCAAGGCCAACTAGAATTCCACATATAATGTCGAAGACAAACTGTCTCCCAGCTAAGGTGCTTATTGGCCTTGCTACCTTATTAACCTAATTGAACAAAGATTACCACAATCACTACAATCCACAACAAGATTACAGTACAATAGGTTTGAATAACGCAAACCAAATATAACCTTGCGTGGCTTATTGTTGATGGCATCCAGATGCTTCCTCAGATTTTTTAAATGGAATATAGCCATTTGATGGCTTCCTGTTTCATCAGTCATAGTCCTTTCCATAGCTCCCAGTGCTAGAACAGCAGATTCCAGAGCATAACGCATGTGCATAAGTTCGATATCTTGCATCCTATCAAAAGAAATTCATGGACATTATTAGAATGAATGTAAATGAATCACAAAGCCCAATAGTCAAAAAAAGGCTCCAATTATAACACTGTACAATTACAAATAGCTACAAATTTAAGCTTCAACAATTGGAAGGAACAGAAACCATTCATCAGCAGCACTGTTTCTTTTTAAAATTTATACTGTGCTAGGCACATACACATTATCTAAAGTTACAATTAAATAACCATATTTGCAGAGAGAAACAGTGTGAATCTAGTGGATTCAGTAAGGAAATTTAAAACATGCCAGTGCGCAGCTATGATTGCAACTCCAATTAATGCATGTAATACGGGATATCCCACTTCTCTGCCAACACATCAATGCTAAAATAAGACAAGAATTCAACCAAACACACAATACAACATAGACAACCATATCGCTAAAAGTTAATAGTCAAACTTGAATCAAACTAGTGAACTATTAGTGACCAGAAACAACTACACCACATGAAGAAACTTGCATTCGCACCTCTTCCAGGCTGCTAGATTAGAAGTGATCGGCTGCATGCTAATCAGTTCGATGGCATCTTGAAATTTTATGCTTGGAACTACGTCAAACAAAACCTGCAAAAATCAGGAAAATGCATTTAGCAACAAAAGCTAGACTCTGCAGTGCTACCACAGTTTACGAACATTTTTAAAACCTCCACATAAGAGAAGTGGCTCTATTAAGGGAAAGGAAGCAGAGGCCCTTGCCCCTACTGAACTTTGAATAATTCTTCTATAGCTAGTGTTAAATGATCATGGCCCTCTTCAATTTAATACATTAGCCCCCCTGAACTTTTTCCAAAATTTGGGTAGTAGTCCTAATTTTTTTTCTTTCTCAGTATCAGTGGTCCACTAACCTTCCTAATCCAGTATAACAAATGATTTATTTTTTGGACTGCATGACACAAATGTCAAATTCACTGATCCATACAAATATACATATATATATGTGTGACGAAAACTAATATCACTTTTATTATTTATTACACTGCCAACAATTTTTTTGCAAATCAAATTTAGAGATTCCCGACTCTTTTTCAACAAGTTAAAGGCCCATAATCCAATAAAACCCAATTAAACAAAAATTGTAAAATGTCTTAAACAAAAAGATTGTATCTGCTTTGTCAAAGAATCAACTGCTCAATAACCTGAAAATTGATCTCAATTAGGCTTCATAATAAAATGAAGGATGATTTTGTCACAACATTTCGATTGTAAACATTGTAAGAAAGTTGCTAAAAAAATTAGCATAGAATTAGTTAAAAAAATTGGATTGGAATAACGTCATATTCTGCTTTAAAAAGCACATAAAATGGAAGAATCCATCCTATCGTACAACGTACAGTCTTACTCTTACCCGAAGGGGACTTTGAAAAGCGAGCCTTTCCAGCACAAAATTTTCAACAAACGGATCCCAATGGGCACCTTCATTTCCTCGTTCTATAAGTTCTTTCCCAGACAACAGTAAAGAATATTTCAAACTCCAAGATTGGCCAGAATTGACACAGGCAACAAAGGAAGCAAGATCAAGCTGATAACATAAAGAATCACAAAGCTGCTCGATGCACGATACCTGCCAAAATCAATAATAAGCATTATCATATGGTGCTGCTTAATTCTGCATGTGTACAAGTAGATCCACTGTAAATAATGTATGTATTTTCAGGAGACCAAATTAGTACCTCATCTGATTTACTACCATAGAGAGAGGACTCTTCCAGCCGAAAAACTTGTGACTTGCTTGTCCACAACAATTGCATCAGTTTCCTTCTTGCAGTTGTCTTGCCAGACAGCAGATCCCAACCCATAACAGCTACCAGGGGTTGAAGGCGGGGGAACAATGAGAGAAACTATACGCAATTGGAATTCTAGACGTTAATGAAATTAAACCAGCAAAACAATAACGAGAAAATAAATGACTGCTTCATATCAAAACAAAAATCTCACTTGTATTCTGCAACCTCAATCTTAAACATAACATGGTACACTCAATTTTAAACCAAATACTGGACATACATTGCTAGCTTCTTGAAGCTGCTCCCTCTTGACAGCAGACAGAGAGGTATCCATGATGCATTCCAACACATACAATCCAGAAACACGAGCATAATGATACATGTCTCTCTTGCAAGTAGAAATTGCCATATTCGATGGTGCCGTTTGGTTGTCTAAACTTGTCTCAGATTTCAGTTTCGCAATGGAATTATGTAGACGCTCAAGAGGGGGTGGAGTCTGATTGTTGTCAGAGGCTCTGTGTGTCTCAATCTCTTCAGAGAGCAGTTCATCCTGAATAGCCTGTAAAAAACCATACACCAATACAGATGCTAAATTTCAAACCTGCTAAGATCTATATGCTGAACATAAGATTCAAATCAATTACCATAAATTAAGTATTTCCCCATACTTCTACACAACATTATATGCTTTATAAATATACATTATCATGTATTCATCCACCAACAATCAACAGTTTCAGAGCTGTAAACTGCACTGATTTCTTGCTATCCCTTCTTCATGTATTGAAATATGCAAAAAGTTGTCAATTGTCAAACACGTGTATATGCCATTAATAACAAAAAGAATTATGCAAACAGAACTGGAAGACAAAGATGAAATGATCCACATAGATTATCCATGGAGTAAAAAGTATGAAGAGGAAAGGAGAGAGAAGATGAGTTTTATATCAGGAGTGCACATCAAAAAGAAATGGCAGGAGAACACGCCAACTGAAATACCAGCCTCTATGCACGAATTGGGATGAGAGAAATGCAAGAATTTTTTAAGACACATGTGAAGTGGCGGATTGCGTATGAGAAAAAAAATTTCTTTTGGCTTCATTTTGGGTTCCTGCCCTCAGTTCTGGGAATTCCTTGGTTGTTAATCAGGACGGAATGGAAACCCGCACACGAATTGCAATTTCTTAGTTTATTATTTTATGTTTCCTTTTGCATTCTTTTTGTTGAAGGACTCGTCCCTCATGCCAAGTCTTCTTCAATATTAATGAAAAGGTTTTTATTGATTATCTCATAATCAAAACAAGAAAGACCAGCCTCTAACCCACAGTCAAGACACTCAAACAGGATAGAACACTGGCCAATATGAGGGCAAAAAGCACTCATAAGAAATTTTTCCATCAAAAAAGAAGTGACCTAAGGCACAAAGCGTCCCGAAAACTACCAAAAGAATTTCATAATAAAAAAACAAAGGATCTCTAGACTCTAACTTACACCAACGTATGCGTTTGTCATGTATCAAGAAATCTGGTGCCCAGATATTTTCTTCTGATAAGAAGGAAACTTGCTTCCAGAATAGCTAAACATTCTCACATTTATAGGAAAAATATAAAGTAAAAAACATGCAAGTTGTTTGAAATTCGGAGAGTGCATACGTAATTAAGTTTCCATCCAAAAAATAATGTTCAAGAGAACAAGCTATTTTGCTTCCATTAACCGGCAAAATTTGGACCAACCAAATGGCCTAGAGTACTGTTGTGGTTTTGTTGGCGCCAGCATCCCCACCGCCACATTTCTTTTCTTTTTCCATATTTCTTATCAAGTAAAGAACCATTACAAAGCACAAAAGATAAGGGTGCAATGCATCTATGTACAAACATACAAAGAGAACCTACAAAAGGTATCAACAATCTAGGCTACAGGATAAAAATTCCCCCAAAACATCCACAAAACTATATATAGATCACAGGAACACTTCATCAACAGGGGCGGAGCTACCTATATGGGAATGGGAGGGGGGCCACTTGCCCCCACTGGACTTTGGAGAATTACCCTTTATACAGTGTTAAATGAATCATGAACTCCTTCACTTTAATGCATTGACCCTCTTGATTTTTTGGAAATTTGGCTAGTGGTTCAAATTTTTTTTTCTGTCTTTAGTATTTTTAGTATCAATGGACCACTAATCTTCCTAATCCAGTAAAAACACCTTTGGACAGTGTGAAAAAAATATAGCATAGCTGCTCCTAACTCTTCTTCAGCAAGTTACGGATCCATAATCCAGTAAAATGCAATTAAATGCAAGTTATAATTTGACCTAACCCAATAGAGTGTTTTCTGCATTGTGAAAGAAGCAATTCCTCAAGAAGATGAATAATGGTCTAAATTAGCGGCCTCACAATAAAATGAAGAATGATTTGTTGTGGACTATTTGATTGTAAACATGAAAGTAAATTGATAAACAATATTAGCATATAAACCAATTATAGATGAATTAGGTATTTTGGAAAAATGTCGTATTGTGGTTCGACACATAATTGATTTTTTTTTTATTTCTCATACAGCAATTTAATCTTAAATGAAAGATAATTCTGATAATTAAACTTAAAAATTTTATAGATTAATTGATAAAAAAAAAATTCATGTTTGCCCGCTCTAACCTAAAATTTTGGTTCTGCTCCCTGAAAGAAAAACTTAGTCAAAATCAAACTTGGGCGTTGAGCCTATGAACAAGAAGCTCATCATGACATAAAGGCCACATAAAACCACTTCTAAGAGTATTTATCCTCCAAATATAATGATTCAATAGACAAATAGAAACTAAGTTTGTAAAAGTATCTGTGGAACCATTTGTCCCACTTCACTTTAGTGACGTGTGCATGAAATACTTTAAAAGCGAGGGAACCGTAATTGTACGTCATGTTTTACAGTCATAGTGGGCCTAGCCTCAAGCAAAAAATATTGCACAGTGAAGGGTCAGGACTTGACAGCTTCCCCTGCAAAAGAAGATCTGGCCTTCCCCAAGAACTTCATAGCCCATCAGGCAAGGTGATAAAATTCAAGATGGTAGGCAACGGGAAATGAAACCACACAATAAAGGAAACTTCCAGCCCACAAAAGTGAGTTCTTAATTTTCTTCTATCTTCTTTCCCATATCACAAGCACAACTGATCTGAAAACCTAGATCCGATTCTGGTCGATCTCTGAAGGGCACAGCTCCTATTAAAAAATCCTTTGCCTAGGTATTTTGCAAAACAAATAAGCCTTATGCCCCCATTGCTGCTCTCTTCGCATCTTTCATTTTTAGAGAAACAAGTACCCTTCAGAGATTGAAGTAGTCATTGATCTTCTGATCCAAGTTTTTCGGAATCTTCTCGCGACATTTGGTCAGAAAAAGGGATCCTGGGACAATTGTTCCCTCATCTGAAAACCAAAGAAGTAGGCAGCAAGGCCTTTTACTGATTACTCATACCACAACATTCTTATGGCAGATGAATTTATGACTTCATGTTGGTCTTCCAGTGCCCCAAGTTCTCAAAGGATCCTCAATGTTTAAAAGAAATTTGAAAGCCAGCTCAAGCACTGAGGCAGCTGTGAACTCCCCCTTCCATCCTTGCTTCAAAGTTAATGTTGACAGATCTAAAATGCTAACTCGAAGTCAGATTGTTAATGGAAGTGCCCACATAGACCACATACCTTCAGGGCCGTGAATGCATTGACAAAACTCCTCTTCTTCTTGACAAATCTCTCTTCTTCACAGGTCATCAAGGTGGACTGAGATGTATCAGTTCCCATACTTAGAAATACATTCCCCCAGCATTGAGCAGGGCTTCCCTGTGACGCCCAGGATTATGAAAACTACCAACAACCATTCTTTCTAACTAAGAACATGACAAATAGTTCGAGTTTCCCCCACATTGATAAAATAGCATCCTAAACTTGTATATGAGCATCGTGGACTTCTCCACTAATAGTCAATTAGTTTTGAATTGAATGTTGAAACTTGGTATGAGAGTTGGACTTGCAGAAAGTTTGGAAAAAGAATCAATTTCATTGAAGTGGTAATTAATTCCCCCTTTATTTGTGTCATAAGTACACTTCCTATGCCTTTGAATTGGTCTTTGGTTCTTCTGCTTACCTTTCCATGTGTAGAATGGGGGCCGAGGGGGAAGAATTAGAGCTCATCTCATATCGATAAATACTACCTCCCAAACCAGTAGTGGGCCCTGTGGATCTCTCTTAATCTTGAGAGTCCCTTTGCTTGGGCTTCTCCCCTTACATAGGATGACATATATAGAAACTAGATATTGTCCCACTTCGATAAAATAATAGCTTCCAAGTTAGCAGATGAGCCTTGTGCACAAACCTCTCCACTAATTGCCAATTGGTTTTGAATTGATCGTTCTAACATAAACATTAATTAAATTCCACATTTAAGACGGCACGGGAGCAGATTATTTAGACAGATATCCTCCAGGAGAAATTTTTTTCCTTACAAAAAGCAACTTAATGAAACAAAATAATAGGTATAATTTTTCGTAGTAGAATGGTCTAGACCTTGATCCAACATATATGCTTAATAACAAGCATGTCAAAACATGATAAGCTCCATAATCTTTAATTTTCGTAAAAGGAGTGCAACTTTATCAAATAACAAGCAGCCAGGAAATACAAACAACTATCTATATAATAAAGTAGCTAGATTGTTTATCTTGAACTTTTCGCAGCTCAAATCATTTTAATCTGATCATCTTAATTGAACTTTCATTCATTTTACAACTCTAAGACTTTCATCTCTCATAAAACTCTCTCTATATCTATCTTACTCTCTCTCTCCCCCTCTCTCATACTATTATCTTCTTTTTTTGTTTTTCGGGTATTATTTTTGTTATTATTTACTCCATAAAATAGATGAAACTACATGTTATGCAATTATCTATTCCATAAAACTAATTAAAAAATTTTATATATCTGACGGCATATATTTTGTCACTTACTTCTTAATTTGTAAATAACAGTTAATGTAAATAAAAAATAACACATTGACTATAAACACCAAATAATATTTGACAAGAAATGAACCTTACATTTTAAATAAATATATAATTTTATCAAAAATTGACATTTAATTTTATTCAATTTATATTCAAATTTGTCGAATTAATATCAAATTAATTTTTATTGTTATCAAATTATTATTGAAATTGATTTAATCAATTTTTTGGAGTACTAAATTATATAAGTTTTTTGAGTACTAAATCAAATTTTATTTGATTTTATTAAATTTTTAATTTTTTTTGTACTAAATTTGGAGAAGGACAATTGTAAAAATAATAAAGTTTTTTGGAATGAAATTATTAATTTCTCTTAGTAATATTGACGGAAGGGAGACCGAGGGGGCCTCCGTGTTATTTATATAATGTCAGGAGGTATTTGTGTAATATTGTCAAAATTCAGGGAATGTCCGTGATTTTTACCCTATTTTTTAATTAAACATTAATCTATTATTATTTTATCTTAAAATTTTGAATTATTGTATTTCTAATAAATGCAGTTATTGATTAGGAGTATTTGTTGGTAATCAAAAAAGAAATGTGTGTGAGTGTTTTTCTATATATATTTATATGCAGAGGCAAGGATCAAAATTTCGTTTCGAAGTACCGTTTCGGTCAACTCAAAAATAGAAACGTTTCGGAAACATTTCGGAAACGCAATGGAAACGCAGAAAAAATATGGAAACGCATAGAAACACAAATGCAATCCATTAATTTATAAAGATATGCTAAATAATTTATTAATTCAACATATTTATTAGGTTAACATCAATTTATACAAGAATAAATTTAAATTTGAGGGAAAAAAAGGCTTGACTTGAGGCGAAAGTCACTTAAATTAGTTTCAAACACTTAATTTTTATGAAATAAACACATTTTTANTCAAAATTCAGGGAATGTCCGTGATTTTTACCCTATTTTTTAATTAAACATTAATCTATTATTATTTTATCTTAAAATTTTGAATTATTGTATTTCTAATAAATGCAGTTATTGATTAGGAGTATTTGTTGGTAATCAAAAAAGAAATGTGTGTGAGTGTTTTTCTATATATATTTATATGCAGAGGATTAGACATTTGGTGACGAAATTTATAATTATATTGTGTCATTGGGTTTGAATAGTGATAGTAGTGATAAATTCATGAGTTTTATAAATGAGCAAAATTTGGTTGATCTTATTTATTGCGTAAAGATTGTGAATTTAATTGTATTTTATTAGTATTTTTGTTTGCTTAAAGTGTTATTACATGGGGATAGGGTGGATTGGAAATATGGTGATTAAGTTTATAATTATGTTGTATTATTGGATTGAGTGGTAGTAGAGGTGATAAATTCGAGAATCTTATAAATGAGCAAAATTTTATTTATTTTATTTATTGCTTAAAGATTGTAAATTTCAATGGGTTTATATATTTTTATAAAAGTTCCATTAATATGAAAAATATGGTCAATGATATATTTTGAGTTATTTTAAAAGAAGAATTCGTATGAATATTTTTACGTCATTCCTTTTGAATTTGGGCAATTGTTTAAATTTTTTTTATTTATTATATAGTATCTTCGGGCAGGAGCAATGACTAGTACATCTATAAGCATTGATGAGGATAACAAGTAAGGTTGACACATCTCAAACATTTACTAGAAAAAAGAAATGGTAACAAACTAATTTTGCAGCATCAAAACTTTGTTCGAGCAAAGGAAAAAAAAAACTCTATCAAGAAAGAAGCATCACCACCTGAATCAATTGAATAAGGCGTGTGCAATTTGATGAAAGAGCTTCTCCATATATTGACAAAAATTTATCTCGCATGACAAGCCAAGTGTCTCCATATTCAGCCTTTCCTGACCTAACCATCTTGAGGAGATCTTGCAAAATCATGCTATTAGAAACATCAGAGAGAGTATGAATAGATAATTAGGGCAGCAAAAGAATAGTGAATATGTCACAGGAAATTACTTGTTTTACAAACTTTTAGGAGGAAAAAAATGCAAGTAACAGAAACACGATGGTCTGGTTGCATGTAAGCTTACTCTTATACGTAAGAGCTTGTCAGTGTAAATATTTTCAAATCTAGGAAGTACAGATATAGACATGAACATGAAAACGACAAGACATGGCCACATGGACATGGCATTTCTACACTTTGGGGACTTACAACAAATAATCATGTTTTACATATCAAATTATATAATTTATTTCAAATATAAAAATAATTATAGTACTATTCATGAGAAAATCAATACATTATGACAAGTAAATCTTATATTTAGTGAACTAGAGTGAATCTAGACTAAAGATCATAGTTGTCAATAATCATTGATTTTTATACATAAATAATGTGTAGCAAACATACAAAATTATAATGATTGCTCTCAACTTCTCAATTCCTCTTCTTTAGCAAAACCTCTATTCATCTTTTGTTTTTGTTAGTAATTCCAAGTACAAATTTGACATGAATAGTCCTAATAGTTATATATGCTTTCATAGTAGAAGTAGTCATTTGTCAATTTTTTTAGTATGTTAATCATATTCTTTCAAATGTCTAAGCTTTGTTTATTGCACCAATGCTCTCACTAACCCATTGTCATTTGTCAAAGCACCCAAATTCCCATAGAATGCAATGTTTTAAGAAAACAGTCATAGTTAATTGATAGCTCTCATCACTTGATCTTTAAATAGGTGGAACACTACATAACTTACGTCACTTGCCAACATCATTTGAACCTTCTCCTTCCTCCTAAGTAAAGATCAGTAAAAAGGCATAATTTAATGTTCTATTTTAGAAGCTAAATATGCCACTATAGAAACAACACTGCAGATGATCGGCACAACCATCCAGCTTACTTATCCATTTCTAATGTTATCTATGTGATATAATTACTGTCAGCAAAATGAACAGTGAAATAAACACATTTTGAAGTGGAATAATGTTTAAAAAAATACACTAAGGTATTGAACATGAACTAACACTTCACCCACTTTAGCATGAAGAAAACTAGGCGTACCGGTACTGTGTCTCGTCAACTCCATAATCCAAGTGAAGAAACCGAATATGAGATACCGCTCCCTCTAGATCGCTCTCCTTCAAGCACTCCTTAATAGCATCCATATGTGCAATTTGAACACTCCTTTGTATCAACTTAAGCACCCTCTCAGCCTCCTCTCCCCGATTCCCTTCCGTACGCACTAGAAGGGCCAAACCTGAATCATCATGCTCAGCCCACTGAACTTGCTTTTTTATATTCCCAGACAAAGCATCGAACACGTCCGCATTCTCCAACATTACCCACCTGTAAGACATTAACTCCTCTTCCTCAATTTTCCCAACACCTCCTAGTAACCCCTCACTTTCTCCCTCGACCATAACACCCAAATCCGGCTTCAACCGAGCCAAACCCACATCCGAAATTGTATCCAAAATCCTTAAAAACTCTCGCAAATCCCCATTCTTCAATTCCTCATTTTCCGCCAAAATCTCACCTTGCGAATCAAGGTCACCAACACCCTTTTCGTTTTTTTCAATATTCTCCAAATCAATGCTTTTTCGGAGACTCTCCGAAACTCTGCTGACCATGATTTGGACATGTAATACAAATTCCACGCGTAATTGTAAACTATTGGCATCGAATGACCAGAGAGGGGAAGTGGGCTCGTTGAATTGGAGAAGTTCAAGGATGCAGAGGAATGTAAGGAGAGCTGGGGACGAGCATGAGTGGGACCAGAGCACCGAGTCGAATCGGCCGCCCCGAGCAACTATGGTTTGGAGGATAGCTTTGGCGAGTTCTGGGTTTCGTGACCGGAGAGTCAAGATGGTGGCTCGAAAGGGTTCGAATTGAGCTAGGAATAAATGGTTCGCAGCGACTTTGGAGAGAAGCTCTGCGTCTTTCTCCTCCATCGTTCCTCTCTATATCCATACACATATACAACTATACATGGATATATACGTCGAGAGAGAGGGGGGAGAGAGAAAATTAGGGTTTTGGGTACGAAAGAATGGCGGTTAAGATTACGAAAAGTGTGTATCAGAGAATGGTTGAAGAAGAAAGTGTTTGTTTGAAGGGATTTATACAGATAGAGAGACAGAGTGTTATTTTGACAAGGCAAAGTTGAGTTCTACAAAGGAAAATTACACTTGAACCCCGTAAATTATAGGGGTATCAATTTTTGACTTGAACACGAACTTGATTCGAACCGAACCTAACACGAACCCGAAAATAACACGATTAGTTGACACGAAAAATAAATGAGTCAAATTAAGGTTCGACATAAATAACACGATTAATGGGTACTGTAGATAGAAAATAATTATTTTATGAGTATTATAGATAGAAAATAAAAATTTTATAATTTTTTAAATAATATTATATAGTTGTTGTCAAATTAAATAATTTTTTATTAACACGAACTCAACACGTACCGAAAGTGATACGACACAAAAAAAACACGACCGAAAGTGACACAACACGAAATTAATACAACACGACACAATTGAGACCCAAGTAAATTATGACTCTTTTTCATATTATTGCACTCAACTACCAGTATTCACATTATACCCTCTACTATGATTAGTTTCATATCGTCCCAATTATTAGCGTCCTTTACAAAGTTGATATGAAGTTATGTTATTCTACCCCCAATATTATCTGATTCTTTGTACTTTACCCTAACACATTTGCAATTTATATCAAAAAGATATCAAATATTTGTGTTTGAGAGAATGTGAAATTATTTGAAAAATATAAAAAATGTAATAGTTTATGGGATAATTTAGAGGTTAAAGTATAATTTATTTATTTTACGAAAATAAAGTGAAGGAGATCGGATTACAAATGTTGTTGTATCCGGTGAACCAGATTCTTGGCGGGTGTTAATTAATTCGTGTTAAAAAATATTTTATTTATATCCTATTCGTTTAATAATTTTTATTTAATGAGTCGTATCATATCGGATTAATATCGTGTATCAATTGTGTATAAATGAGTCGTATCATGTATTTTTTTATTATGAAACAGATGGTTTAAAGAATACCCAAATTTTCTAACTAAATAAAGGGACAATTAGTAAAGTATCTATTAGCTAAAAAAACACATGCATGTGTGTTTGTTTGTCTTTACCAAGTTTATTGTTAAAGGGAGGGGGGGGGGGAATATTCTTAACACCCCTAGTTCCAATTTAGTTGTCTCTCTCTCCCCCCCCTCCTTGCGTTGCACCAAGTTAGCATGTCAATCAAATCAACCAACTACGAATTAGACCATAAATAATCCATGAAAAACTTTGAATTAAAATATGAAAAGAAAATCATTGGATTTTAGGTTTAAATTGAGAAGTCTTCGAATTTATCATTGTCATAGGTTTGTTGATATGTTAGTCGGGAATTTTTGTTCCTTCCCTAATCGGGAGGTCCAATTTAACAATTCAATGGTACAATTTTATGATTTTTTTATTAATTTAAATTGAAATCTATATAGAATCAAAGATAAATGGTTTGGTTTCTATTATATCGGGGGTGGTTTTCATTTGATGCTATTTGATGGTGTATTTCAACGTGATACAATTTTATGATGACGAGTAAATGAAAGAAACAATATTAGAGTTATTGGATTCTGAGCTACTAGACTTGAGGGAATGATATTGAGAATTGTTGGGGAGTTGGAGAATTAATATAGTAAAAATATAGTGGTTCACCAGCTCGAGAGTTCGGCTAATTCACTCTTCAATTGAGATTCTTGTTCCTTCCTTCACTATTTATTATACCAAAAAGTTTACATAATGTAAGATGTGATACTAGGGTTATGTCCCTCTGTTGGGGGCGTTACATAGTATTTATAGGGGTGACTCTTAATCTATGGGATCTGATCCGTGATCCTCGTCATCTATCCGAGAAATTCTCCTTGGNTTACATAGTATTTATAGGGGTGACCCTTAATCTATGGGATCTGATCCGTGATCCTCGTCATCTATCTGAGAAATTCTCCTTGATCTTAGGAGAGTATCTTGGTTGGTTGAGGATTTTGTGCCTTGAATGTTACTTCAAACCGCATGTCGAGTTCTTTAAAGTATCCAGTTGTTTCTTCATTGCTTCAGCTTATTATTTCGCTTGAGGGAAGCTCTAATTCTAGTTTTACGAGCTCNATCTTAGGAGAGTATCTTGGTTGATTGAGGATTTTGTGCCTTGAATGTTACTTCAAACCGCATGTCGAGTTCTTTAAAGTATCCAGTTGTTTCTTCATTGCTTCAGTTTATTATTTCGCTTGAGGGAAGCTCTAATTCTAGTTTTACGAGCTCTGCATAGCTCTGACTTTTTGAGCTCAGTATACCTAACCTCCATGTTTGACCTCCGTTCCCGAGCTCTTGCTCGTTCTGGTTTTCTGAACTCTGCATAACTCTGATTTTCTGAGCTCAGCATACCTGACCTCCATGTTTGACCTCCGTTCCCGAACTCCTGCTCGGGAATCATTCTGAGTATCATCAGTTGTAGAGCTCAGAAAACCAGAGCTTCAGAAGCTCGGGAACGGAGGTCAAGCACGAAGGTCAGGTATGCTGAGCTCAGAAAGTCAGAGTTATGCAGAGCTCAGAAAATCAGAGCTAGAACTTTCCTCAAGCGAGATAATAAGTTGAAGTAATGAGGAAGTAATCGGATACTACAAAGAACTCGACATGCGGTTTAAAGTAACACTCAAGGCACACNAATCAGAGCTAGAACTTTCCTCAAGCGAGATAATAAGTTGAAGTAATGAGGAAGTAACCGGATACTACAAAGAACTCGACATGCAGTTTAAAGTAACACTCAAGGCACAAAATCTTCAACCAACCAAGATACTCTCCTAAGATCAAGGAGAATTCTTCGGATAAATGACAAGGATCACGGATCAGATCTCATAGATAAAGGGTCACCCCTATAAATACTATGTAACGCCTCTAACAGAGGGGCAGAACCCTAATATCACATCTTACATTATGTAAACCTTTTGGTATAGTAAATAGTGAAGGAATGAGCAAAAATCTCCATTGAAAAGTGGATTAGCCGAGCTCTCGAGCTGGTGAACTACTATATTTTTACTGTGTTAATTCCTCGACTCCCCAACAATTCTCAATATCATTCCCTTGAGTCTAGTAGCTCAGATCCCAATAACTCTAATATTATTTCTTTTATTTACTTGTCATCACAAAATTGCATCACAATGAAATACACTATCAGTTTGGCGCCATCTGTGGGAACGACTGTTCCTGTTATAAATAAATTGATCTTTCAGTGATTGATGGTATCAACACGAAACATGAACCGAAGTCAAACAAATCTACCATGGGTGCAAGATCAACAAGAAGTTGCCAATAGCAGACAACCCAAGAGCATCCAGGGGACCAATCTCCCAGTGGGGGGTCTCCCCATGAATAACAAGATGGAGGCTCTTCGCGCTCTCCAATCAACACTTGCTGAAGCAAAACGAAGAACTTTTACAGCTCTTGCAACGCCCACATAAGGCACGATAGGCTCAAGAAGGCCAGAACAACCTCCCACCTAGGGAGCAACCACACCTCGACCCCCTTAGAGAAGTTAACGAAGAAGGAAAAAAAAGTCAAACCATGGGGCCAGAACCTCGCATACCCCCAGGAATGGCCACAACGACGAAGGACAGAGTCAGAACGAAGAAGGTGAGAGAAACGATTTTTTCCCCTATTAATGGGAAACGAGAGAACAATACTGGGAGCAACGCTTCCAGGGTATCCGGCAAGAACTCAGCCACATGAAAGAAGCCGTGAGAGGCAAGACTCTAGTTACGATGGATGCCTTGGTACAACAGACTGAATCTCCGTTCACCACTGGAGTGCTGCATTTTTCCCTCCCTATGAAATTCAAAATACCGCAAATAGACACTTTCGATATAACAAAGGATCTCGTAGATCACCTCAACACCTACAAGAAAAAGATGGAGTTGCATGGATACTAGAATCCAGTGCGCTACAGAGCTTTTGCCATCACGTTGAAGGGCTCAACCTTAGCATGGTTCAATAGGCTCCCCCCAGCCTCGATATCCTCCTTTAAGGAGCTATCCACATCCTTTGTGTCTCACTTTATAGGAGCTCAAACGTACAGAAAGTCGAGTTATCACTTGCTAAATGTGAAATAGGGACCCCACGAGAACCTCAAATCCTATGTTCAGAGGTTCAACTCGGAATCGCTAAAAATGAACGTCTCAGACGAGAAATTTGTCATTACTGCATTTATAACTGGCTTGGGTGTCCAATCTAAAGACCTGATGTTCTCCATCTCAAAAAATTCCCAATCCAGCATGGCTGAAGTACTGGCCAAGGCAAAAAAATACATAAACGACGAAGAAGCCCTGCTCTCAAAAGTGGGGAGCTCATCCATACAAAAAGACAAAGGAAAAGAGGAGAAAAAGAGGGACCGAAGTCCCAAAAGAGAGAAAGGACGAGATAGGTCCCCAAGAAGAGACAGAGATCGCTCCCCTAAAAGAAGGGGAGACGTCAGAGATCGTCTGGGACCACCTCATCCGGAGTTGTAACCGAGGTAGCACCTCGGCAGATTCCCCCACTCACCACAACAATATTGCAAATCGTGTATGAAGTACAAAATGAAAAATTCCTGAGGTGGCCACCTCGGATAAAAGTGGACCCGGCGAAAAGGGACCCCTCAAAGTACTATGAGTACCACAGGGACCATGGTCATCATACTGATGACTGTATTCAATTGAAGAAGGAGGATAGAATTCCTGATCCAACGAGGACAGTTGCGTCGTTACATAGCCCAGGAGAATCAGAATCGAGCCTCACCACCTCAACAGCAGGCTCCTGCGCAGCACCAACAACCCCTAGGAGAGATCAGGGTAATATCAAGGGGTTTTGTAGGAGGCGGGGAATCTAGTTCATCCA